CATGACTCTAGTCTAAAGCTAAAATAAAGGCCACAAATTAATTTTAGATGTTGATACATTACACAATGTGAAACCTTTACAACCTGCCTCCTTTAAACACAACAATGCAAACTAAAAAAACTAACAATGATAGTGTGGAAAGTGAAACTAATAAAAAAAATCAGTTAAAAAATGTAAACAATAATAACCCTGACATAAAGCACATGAGAGATTTGAACATGGCACAATTTATTCCAAAGTTGCGTCCGAAAACACACTCTTTGGAAGATCACTAAGGCTTGAAACAGATCTTAAAGGTCTTTTCACCTTACTTGCTTGCTAGTAGTTACTAAGGGTTTAAGAAAATATCGATACACGCGAATATCGCGATACTATGTTTGGCCATACTCTATCGATTCTCAAAAATACTGTACACAGTTACGGGATACACATTGTATCTAAGAGCTCACTTAACACTAGAAATGCCACTAGAAGTGCCAGAATTCCATAACTACTAGAACTGCCACAATCGGTCATTTTGACCGTTAGATTGCAAACTCCCTATATCTTTAATGATAAATACCCAATTGAGAGATTAATGCATTTACTGTATTAGGATATCTTTTAAAAAACAAAACAACACCAAACTGTACATTTAAACAAGTTTAATTATACATTTATAAATAATAATATCATTAGTAGGCTAGCCCGTAATTTTCGGTTATATTCACAACAGATAGGCTATATATTCCATATCCATTCAACATAACTCATAACAAGATAATAACAACTAAAAGTATCTTATTTAGATATTCTTTTGACAGTGAGAGAGACAATAATGTCACGGTTTATGAATTCGCTGTCTCCTTTCTCGTCCTGTTGTGTGTGTGAGTGTGTGTGTGTGTGTGTGTGTGTGTGTGTGTGGTCGCTGATCATTGCCGCTGATCAGCACGCCCGCTGCTTCTGATCAACGCGCCAGCTGCAGCTGCAGCGAACCCTTTTTAGTGTCACTGTTGTCGCCTAGTCTTTGTCAGATCGTTGTGGATGTTTCCTGCGTGTTTGTTCCCTCCCTGTATCCGTTTTCCGTGTGTCATCCATCCGTGTTCAGCACTCCATCGTTCTACACGCAGCGTCCCTGTGCTGCCAAGGGCTTCATACCGGACATTTGCACACCTTAAATCTCCCAGCTCTCAATAAACATATCTGTCATTTTGCAATTGAATCTTCTGATTATTTTCTAACAGACAAAGGTCAACCGCGGGAAATGTAACAAAAGAAAAAAAGTCTATGGCCTTTACAGTATTAAACATTAAGTGGACTTTGCCCTTTCTGTAATATAAAACTGTGAACATTTAAAGCAAGATCCAAGAATATATATTAAACTAATATTCCAAAAGAATCCTGCAAGCAATTTACTGTAATATTTTTCCTTTACTTAGATTGCACAAAAATTAGTCATATACGTGAATGCAGATTCCACTGTTTTGATTAAAGCTGCAGTCCGCAGTTTTTCCTCTTTGTCGCCATCTCTGTTCGAACTCTGCAATTGCAGTCATTCACGGAATTATCAACCTTACGGCACAGCGCGGATGAACACAATGTTTGAGGAGAGTGTGCAGCTGTCAGTCACCGTGACGGTGTGGATACTGCCATTCAGATTCACAGATTATTCTTTTTGGAAGTATGACCAACATAATTTTCACCGGAAAATGTCATCTGAACATCCACAAGTAACATCCACTTTTGTTCTGGTTCTGACATTGCAGTAAATCGCGCTGATTAAATCTAACAATCACTTATCATATCACGTAAAACCGTGCAAATTATACTTTGTTCTCAAATTGTTAATGTTAACAACGTCAGCATTGCGTGACTACATGTAATTAGTGCTGCCACTAACGACTAATTTTCTAACGACTAATCTTTCGACTAATTTTTCGATTAGTCGACTAATCTAAACGACTAATTAAAAAAAAAATCAAGTGTTTATTTCGTTGTGTCCATTTTATTTTGAACTCAACTGAAGGGCCAAAACATAAAATGTCACCTGTTCAAAAACATTGTATTAACAATCTAAGCATTAAGTATCTGCATTTCCATTAGGCTATACCATATTAGTCAGAGTCCTTATCTAATCCTCTAATAACAAACATGTATGTATTACTTAAATTAGCTCTTTGTTCTGCCTTAAAAAATGTACAGTAAGCTAATAATGATTAATTTATGTACATTTCTGAAAAGCATAACTGATAACATCACTCTGAATAGTAAAGTAGATGCAATGCATTTTCTGTGAAAAGCGCTATACAAATAAATTGGAATTGAATTGAAAGAGTCTGGACAAGCCCACTATGAGTCGCGCTGAAAGCAGGCAGGCACGCAGTTATGTAGCTCGCGTTTACACTTGCGTGCATGGCGGGCCCGTGCCGCGGTTCGCGTGAATGTGAAAGCAACACGGACTCTAAGCACATAACTATAGAGGGAATGCATTAACGTCACTTCCCCGCCGGAACACGCCCCCCTCAGCGGGACTGAGTGGCAGAAGAGCTGCTGCGTGACTGGAGTTAATAGGGGAAACTGCGTTAACGCGAGTAAAACAAACTATTATCAGTTTAAACTAAAAGTTGGACTCGATATAGTGTTCCTTACAACTTATCAAAGATCCAGTGATCCATGGATATTGACATGCAGCCAGGAATCGTGTTTCCTGACATTTATATGTGCCTGATTTCGACGCCGGGGAAATAAATGAAGACAATTTGCCTGTAAACGTTTTATATAAATACAATATAGATAGGTCTAAATCCGAGTGATCACTTATATTAATGTTATACTGTATATCATCATATCGTCCAGCCCTAAAACTTGTATAGTTTTTTGTCAGTTTATTTAAAAACATCCAATTATGCAGAATATAGTCTGTTCTGTAGCTTTTTGCAGTCTGTAAAAATATACAGTACCTCAGATTTCTGGTCAAATCTAGTTGTACAGTCAATCGCAAAGCTCTTTAGATGTGTTTTGTGTGATTTTCACGGCATTCACGCTGAAAACAAATGCTGCCGCTCAGTCTTTTTGCCACTTGTGGGCGTGACCGCATTCACTCTGGCCGACGGTGACGTCATGCGCATACCCTCTACAGAATTCTGAATGAGCATGTGAACGCCGTCAGAGTTAATCACAGGTTCGCGTTTAAAGTCTGATCATTTCGACGGAGGTGAATCAATCAAAGTTAACTTTAGCTGGAAGTAACATTATTCAAGAGCCGCTATAACGCCAAAACAATCTGTTACCTTAAATTATATGTTTGTCTCTGTAAAGCTGCTTTGAAACAATCCATTGTTCAAAGCGCTATATAAATGAAGATGACTTGACTTGACTCGGGAGCGCTTGTTCAGGAGGTTAAGTAACCTGCCCATGCGTTTTAGCTGATTATGATGCATTTAGTTAAATAAAACACATGTAAGGGATGATAGTGTTGATGATTTACCTTGGAGACGCGGGGGTTGAGTCTGCAGTGTATTCGCGCATTGCGCGTGCAATCAGGGCAACACATTTGGAAATCCACTGTCTCCTCAAAAGAGTCCGTTTGAAAAACACAATATATTGACCCGCGTTCTGTTTTTTATCATGCGCCGTGCACGTTTGCGATGGCATAAGATGCACGCAAACTCAACAGGGTTCGATAGAATTAAGTGTGAAACCAGACCAACGCTGCGGGGGGCGCCGGGAACAATCGCGCTCTCGCGCTCGGACTCGGACCGCAGCAAACGAGCCCACTGTGAAAGCTCCGTCACCTGCCTCCGCAATTTTTCATATCAAAGCAGTGAAGGCGGGCGGGAACGTGAAGGAAAATGATAGCAGATAAACCAGCAGGGCGCGCACGGCGCACAGACTGGTGTGTGGAGGTGAATTACAGTGAGCCGTTTGTGACGGGAGACCAAAAATAAATAGCGGTCAATAGTAAAACGACACGTCGACTAAAAAAATTGCCGTCGACTAATTTGCATGGTCGATTACGTCGACTAAGTCGACTAATCGCGGCAGCACTACATGTAATGTCCTTCCGATATGCATCCTTGTTTTCGCATGTGTCCGGTTGCAATCTCTTTTTTTCTGTAGCCACTCCGAAGTCCGAAAAAAGTCTTTTGCATTTTACATCGAGTGAGTCTCTAGTTGTCACTGGTGATTGTCGTTTGAACCTTTCTGGATCCTCCAACAAATTGATAAGTTTAATTATATCAAGTGCTGTGAGAAAAGGCTATAAATTTCCACCTCCAACATCCTCACACACAATATAGCCTACTAGCCGAGACTCCTTCTTTATGTGTACAGATGTGACGTAATGACGCAAAGACATGCTCGAATCTCCGGCGGAAATCCACCAGAGTTAAAAACATTATTACAAGTTTACTGTTTTGAATTGAGCTAAGGCAAGCAGATAGTTTTGAACACTGGCTGGTTATGTATTTTCTCAAAAATGTATTTTGGATAATTTTTAACCCCAAAAATCTACGGACTGCAGCTTTAAATAATAGTTTTTTTGCTCAGTTTTTATGCATATGGGGGTATGTTCTTTATGACAGTTTTTTTTTAATGAGATCTTCCTAAAAAAAAATATATATATATATTGCAATATATCACCTATCTTAAAGAATTGCAATACATCACAATACATCATATCGTAACCCCTGTATCATGATACATATAGTATCGCCAGATTTTTGGTGATACACAGCCCTAGTAGTTACCTGACTGCAGTTTATCGGGAAGTAAATCATGCAAGCATCTACACTCGCATTGGCTACTCATTTGAATATGCCAACGGTTGCTGCAGCTCATGTTGCCTCAAATCCTCTTATTGAAAATGAATAACTTTCGATTTCTTTTTTCTGTGAATCGCAGTTTGAATGGCTCTGTTGGCCTGTTTTAGCAGTGAGTCTTATGCAGAGGGCAGAAATGTAGAGGCAGTGTAATGTTCCCGAACTCTCACATCTGATTAACATTTCTGATCTGTTACTCACCCCCTCCACCAGGATAGTGGTTCAACTGCATCCTCAGAACGGCCAACGGTAGCCACGAACGCAAAGGGCCAGGCCAGCAACATCAGGAATGCAGCAAAGAGCAGACGGACAGGGAACAGTGTCACAGACATCACAGCTATCTGTGAGAGAGAAAGAGCGTGTTAGAGGTAACCAGAGGTTAAAATCCCAAATACTTTCATGTTGATCCAGAATTTGCCAGTTTAACTATCAAACATTGCCGTGGAGCTGGAGAACACAGAAATCGTGTATGAGGGTCATTCACAGAAAGAGATAGGGAAACAAAAATAATGCAGTGAGACCATACTGCATTTTGCTATGCTGTGCAAAACAGACATAGAGAGACTGGACAGGAGAACATTAACATTTAGATTACTCAGCCCTAGTTAACTGACAGACAGGCCAATAGTTCCAAACTTACATTCGGCTCTTCTTAGCAGAACCATCGTGATTTCAAAGAAAGATAGTTGATGTAATGGCTACATTAAGAGACCTAGTGTTTGAAATGCTTGAGAACAAAAGTATCAAGATTTTTGTTTCATGACTTTAAGAGATGAGATAGGCCTAGATTCTTTGCAGTTAATGATCTTAAGTTTACTTCAACAAAGCTGACTATAAAGAATGAAGAACCCTGGGGCTTAATTTATAAAATGCATGTATGAACAGATTTGATGATAAATTCCATGGATTTGATCTAACATTAAAGTATCAAATCAATTCTGATGACTTTGTAATACAATTGCAAATAAGTCACCAAACACATTGCACAAGAACAATATGATTCTGAATTTGATCATATTCAAATGATGCCCCATGTCATGTAATTCAGAATATCTAGAATATTCTATTATATCTGTGTGTACTTTTTAGGAGCTAGGAGATGGCATTTATGAGACATTAAACACACATCTTTGGAGAAAAAAAAAACAAAAAACATTTTACAATATTAAAAGAAATCATAAAATATTTATTAAACCATTTTGTGAATTCATTTGATTAGATTTTAATATTTTTTTCTGTTCAATCACAACACACAGAATCCAGAAATATTATGCTATACAGAATTTAGGGGAAAAAAACATATTACTGTTAAAATTCTAATAAATTATTAAATTGTTAAAATTGTATAGCCTAGATTATACATGCTTTTTTATTTAATTCAAATTTAATTAAACAGTAAAAATTGAACACTCAAAACTGAGGAAAAGGTATTTCATAGGACAAATATAGTCTAGTATTTCAAAATGTGGATTTTGAAAAAAAAAAGTGTGTGTACTAACATTTTATACATGGCAAAAAGCAAACAGAAACATTTTACATTAGCATGATTCGAGACCACTGATTTCTACAAAGTTCACAATAACATAAAATCCGATTATGCTTTTGCAATGCCAGAATTAAATGCGTATGGTGAGCCATTCATGACTGCACTAACAGAACCATTAGCTCAGAGCACAAGGACATCACATGTCACGCTTCTAGGCAAATCAGGAAAACAAGATCACATAAGAAGGACATGAGAGGGAACAGGATTTGAGGAAGAGATAATTTTCAATTGATGTTAGATGCTTTTCCTATGAGAAAGGGTTTTTAAAAGCAGACGAAAGAGAGACCATATCTAATATGGACTTTACATGAAAGCATTGTACTGTAACAGTTTTATCCTGCAAACTCTATTCAAATGTTCCTGAATATCCTGTCTGATCACACACAACTTCATGTAGTTTACCAGGCTTTTCTCAACTGTACACTAGTGATACAATACATCATCGGAGGAGCAAGATTAGGTTTGCATCAGCGTTTCTGATGACCTCTTGACCAGATATATCATGTTCCTATCAATGGTTTACATCTAAGGACCTCAGTTCACAATGATAAGCAGACGTTTGTGCTTAAACACTCTTTTTCTGTTGACGTTCATGTAACATTTGGGACCCCAGAGACTCCAATGCTGTACATATAAAATTAATAATACATTTTTTTATGTTCCTCTGAACAAAACAAACCCAGTAGACAGATATTATTGAACCTTTAACACTGTTTAGCCACAAAGTAGCTGTGCACTTCAAAGTCATTATCTAAGTCATTGTCCAAAAATTCAGTTTGAGGTATATTTGACTCAAGCAAAAATATATTGTATAAATATGCAATAAGAAAAATCCAAATAAACAACTGGAAAAAGTGTAAGAAACTACATTTTGTATAAATGCATGTAGTATATAAACATTTTTTTCCTCCATGAAGTTAGTTACCATAAGGGAAATTCATCAGTTTCAACCTGATACTACATACACACATACACACATACACACACACACACACACACACACACACACACACACACACACACACACACACACACACACACACACATATATATGCATGTATGTATATGTATATATAATATTACTATTATTTTTTAGCTAGCAAGGCCTTGCTCTTGGGGTCTTTCCAAACAAGATGGTTAAACTGGGTTCATTCTGGAGTATATTTCTCATGCTGTTTGCTTTAATTTAAAAATAATCATGCAAAATAAAAAAAGATACTTAATTCAAAAATAAAAAAAAGCTTCAACCAACTCCTAGATCTGAGAAGACATACTGGTAATACAATTTGGAGGGCTAAATCAGCATGTTAAGAACCAATCTTGTTGAAGCTTGGAGTAAAAAAAAAATATGGACAAAAACTTTGTGGATTGCAGCTAAAAGCTAATTTTTTTTAATTATTTTTTTGGTTAGACTGTCGCAAGAACCAATGACAAAGCAGAAGACAGGAACGAGCTCACATTAAGACCCGGAATGGTTAATGAATATTTAATCTGCCTGAGAGTATGTGCTTCCAATTTCCTAGAAAAATCGACTGTGACACGTGACACGAAAAGCGTGAGTTTCTTGACCACTGCTCCATTTGTTGAGCCTAGAATAAGGTTATTCCTGTGTGTTTCTCATTCACAAACAACTAATTTGTAAAATGACACCCATCTTGTTAAATTTACTAGCGGTTAGCTATGACACAACGGGCTAAGGTTGTCATCGTGAGATCAGAGCTGGAGCGGAGCATCTCTCTGAGAGCGGTGATTAAAAGTGTATGGGCTCACGCGACGCCTCCATTAGGAGGAGATGAACTGTGGCTGGTTTAGTGTTTATTTATTTATCTAGAGCTGCTGTCAACTCCTGCAGCCTGCCCTGACAGAAAGATTAAACTGAGCTAGAGGCTGAGGCAATGGCTCTCTTGGGAAAGGGAGGGAGCAGCAGAGAGCTAGGAGGAGCTAGTGTAAAATGTATTATAAGTGAAAGACTACATACAAAAGCACTTATTCCCTATGGGATTAAAAAAAAAAAAAACGACTTACTTTTCGAACAGAAGGAAGAGCTAAAATCATTTGCTCAGAACAAGAATTATAACCCGGTCTCGACCTTCCCCACCCCAACCCACTGTATAATGTCCCAGGAGTGAGAGCCGCAGCCCTGATCCCAGCCTATAGGGTCCTGTTAACAGCCTCCCCCTCATGTCTACTCTCCATGTGCTTCAGCCTGAGGGAGGACGAGGGGGATGTGCTGGTTAAGAAGCCCATCTCCACCCGAACCTGCATCTGATGCTTTTAGCAGCTCTGTAAAAGAGCAGGCGGACGACGCTTGTGTCTTTGAGAAGGGTTAAGAGCTACTTAGTCACAAAGAAGCCCACACAAGAGCCTGACCTCAAGGTTGTTAAGGTGTTATGAGTGGTTGCTATGGCTTTCTCAGGGTATTCAAGGTGGTTGCTTGCTTGCTGGTGGTCCAAGTAAAAAGAAACCACCCTTTGGCCCTGGTATACTCACGGCAAACTTCTTTTTTGTTCTTCGCTTGGGGGTAAACAGAAGTTGAAAATACCTGAGCAGCGGTACACTGCTAGCCAACATCCCGACGCCACCCACGCTGGTAAGAGAGGTGTTTAGATGAATATATTAATATACAAAATAAACACGACAAAATAAACAAGACGTGGATATGTTTGCACGAGCTCAGCAATTCAGCTCTCCCGTCAAGTCAAATTGCAATCACATGAAGCCATATGCCAAAATACATAATAAATAGAGAGTAAACGTATATAACATTTACAATTACATAAAAAAAACGTAGGCCTAACAATCAGTTTGGGGTCATTAAGAATTTTACATGTTTTTTATAAAAGAAGTCTGCATTTATTTGATCAAAAATACAGGAAAATAGTAATATTGTGAAATATTATTACTGTAGACTTGGAATTAAAGCCTCTTTTGTTTCCCCGTTATTATTTGATTTACGGGACCGGACACCAGTTATCTTGCCAAGAAAGATTTTATTCTTATATGTCAGGAGAGAAACTTCAAGATGTTGTATTCATGCCAGGTCAATGCGTTTCCGTGTTTCTCTGAGGTAGTACAGTAAGATTGAGTTTTTATACATCACAGAGAGTCTTACAGCTTCCTTGTAAGGTAACAAAACATGTTGCTCTGAGCTTCTTAAAATTAGAACGTATGTCATACGTATACGTTATGTTTAACATGTCACAATTCACTTCCATATTAAGAACTATCCTTGTTGTTTACATCTGTGATACACTCACATCAGCGGAACATGTTACATTGTACACACCCTCTAAGCAAAATATATCTTCTCCCTGTCTGACATATGATCATCCCATGGACCCATGCTATCTATAGCCCCTCATGCATTCAAACTCATGCTTTTGAAACTTCATAAGATAATACAACTGATTATGAATATTAATAAAGAATAATAATACAAATACATAATATTTAATAATGAAATAATATTAAAAGATGAAATTTTGAATCTTCATTTCCCTCCACTGGAACTACGGCCGTCAGTTCCACACCATCATTCCCAGGTGGCCAACCTATAGAAGTGATAGTGAGGAGAAGAAATAGCAGACCAAGAAAATAGACAGAAAGAACAGAAGAATGGAAAAAGAAAAAGGAAAAGAAAAAAAACAAAACAAAGAACAAAACCCCAACCCATGATATGTCCCCGTATACTATGTGTATTTTAATATCTATGTGTATGCATTTAAAATGAACCCCAATCATCTAAGAAAAGAAAAACTAAAAAGTCTTCTGTCCGTGCCTGAACTCATTAATTAATTAACTCGTTAATTAATTAAATCCTCCAGTTCCGAACCAAAACAAGAAATTAAAATAAACGTTGATGTTAAAGGATCCTATCCCTTGGGGTTGAAAATCAGTAAACGGATGTTCATTGTTTGTGAGGTAGCGTAGAATGTGTAAAATCTCTTATTTCACGCTGTATGTCCCATTCTTAGTTCTATCCATTTGGTTAGAAATAATCAATTTGACAGGTTTGGTACTTTTCCTTCTAGTAACACATATAAGGACTTGGATTATTAGCATGAACACAAAAACTCCTACCATAGTCAAAACTATCCAATCTGACCATGATAAATTCCCTAGGATTCGTGGTAGTTTCCTCTCAGACATTAATTTAGCTACTCCATTTGCTACAATAACATGACCCATTGCTTGAATTCCCTCCTCTTGAGCTGCTTTTACACTCTTTTTAACTCTTCTAACCATTTCAAAGAGTTCATAATTCCGTTCTTCTACTAGATCATTATTCCACCATTGTGGCTCTATCTGCAACAATTGCACATGTGGAACATGAATTCCACCCAAGTGAAGAGGATAGAGAATCTCAAGGCAAAATGGATCAGGAGGAATTGGACACAACTTTCCCCCGTATATCATATTTTCACTTATTCCATCATGTAATATACACCACTGTGCTTCTGACACCTGCCATGCACCTGTGGCTTGATCTAAAGGAACTACTTCCCAAACAGCAGAACCATTAAGAGACAGACTAAACATTGTAGAGCATGAGCAAATTACCCACTCATGTTCCTCAACACAACAGTCTGTGGTAGAAATCATTGGTGTATCGCCGTCAGCCCAATATCCATTCCTTCCTAATCTAATTACTGAATTTCCTTGTCTAACACCCATTGATTGGAATTGCCTGACTGTCATAACATTGCGCTTCCCATATTGAGGCCATATCATAATCAAAGGTAACATTCCAGAACCTGACAACGAATTTTCATTAATAGCGATTTTAACTAATGGAATATGTTTAGCAGGTCAAATTAAGTTGATTACCGAAAACCACTAACAAAGATTCTGCTATTCGCTCAGGAACTTGTCCCATTCGAATAACTTGAATATCTTCTACCATTTGATCCTTTAAATTCTGAGCTAAAAATAAACACGCCGCACGATGTGTCTCAAAATTAGACGATTTTGTTAATGCATCTGCTAATTCCTTTGCAGCATCATTAAGATGCTGACCCGCTGCTATAATATGTAGAGAACCCTGAAGAGCCTCAGTGAGTCCTTTCCCAGACATTGTCCCCACCCACTGAGTATACTCGCTTAGTTGATTCATTTGAGCAGTATTACTAATTGAATTGACAGAACCAAATACCCCCGCTATGTCTCCCCATATACTTCGAGTTTTACGATTTTTACTACTCAGACGATTTTTAGAGGTATAATATTTAACTTCTTTGTCCAACCAACTTCTTATTTGTGTAAAATTACCACAATAAGACTGATCAAAAACTGTAAGAAGAGAGTTCAAGTTATAATTAATTCGTTGTCGCACCATATGGGCTTCATTTATTAAGGTTTTGGTTTCTTTTGCCAACAAAATACCATGAGCTGGTGCAATAGTTGTATTTGGGCATGTTTGAGCTTTGTTTGACTTTACCGCAGAAAGATAAAAACACCTTCCGATTTCCCCAGTTTCTAGTTCAGTCTCACAATATTCATTCTCATCTTCTGAATGCCATACTCGTACATAATTTCCCTTGAATCTTGTTGTTCTTGAGGAAGCATCCCTCAGAAACCCTTCACATGGCAACACTATGGGATAAATACACCCTTGGGTCAATGAATCCCATATTGTAAGCATGTGGGTACGATTCAGAACTAAATTAATTTCCACATTAGTAGACGTTATGAGGTTTAACCCTATAACTTCACATTGTTCTTTGGAACAAATTTCTCGTCTTTGAGCACTACCAGTATACCCCCCGTCTTTTACCGGCCAAATTACTCTGCTTTTGTAACATTGGTGGTAAAAGTTACATCCTCCAAAGACGTCCTTGCGATATTTAGCAAGGTCTTTATCATTGTGTGGCACCCAATCCCATAATCCCCATTTGGAAATAAAGGGTAGAGTAAAATGTTGGCCAGATTTCAGAGTTGCATTCCGAGTGATTTCTTGAACTCGAGGAGTCCATAAGGCTTGGCTTTCTTGATAAATGCCAAGTAAAATTAAAAATAAGCATACCATCGTCGTTGGGTATCGAGAATAACTTGCAACCATTTCTAATCAATGTCAATGGAATTGATTCCTGAAATGGAAGCAGAGAAATAATTAACATCACTTCTTTGTTCCCAATCTTTAAAACTAATGGATGAACATTGCTCAATCTCAGGCCATAAGCCATCATTATCATCTTGTTCATTCACTAAGCAAGGTTTAACTTGTGACCAATGATACCATCTATCTGTTCCTACACCCTTCCCTTTGAGACAAACACTTGTATCAGTAGTTAGGAGTATCTCATATGGTCCTTCCCATCTAGGCTCTAAACCTTTCCTAGCAATTCGTTTGATCATAACAAAACTGCCTAACTCGGGAATGTGTGGAATGTCAGTAGTGGTGTGTTTTTCATCCCATTGCTGTTGAGCTTCTCGCACTTTCTTATTATTGTCTTTAGTAGCTTTGTCTAGCATTGCGAGATAGCGTCGTAACTTTTCTTGGAACAAAGTAGAGTCTCCTCCTGTTCCCGCAGGTGGCGGAGCATCAGGGGGTAGAACCATTGCTCTTCCAGTCATTAGTTCAAAAGGGGTTAGTCCTGTAACTCGGTTTGGAGTTGCTCTCAAGTTCCACAGAATAGCAGGTAATAACTTATGCCAACCTTGACCAGTTTGCAGAATGGCTTTGGTAAGTGCGGTTTTCAATGATCGATTCATTCTCTCCACCATGCCCGAGCTTTCTGGCCTATAGGGAATGTGGAATTTCTGTTTAATTCCCATCAATTTCATTGCTTCCTTCATCAGTTTTCCAGTGAAGTGAGTTCCATTGTCAGAATCAAGTTCATATGGAAGACCCCAGCGAGGAAAAACTTCTTCCACCATTACTCGTGCTGTCGCTTCAGCAGTGCAAGTTTTTGTAGGGAATGCTTCCACCCATCTAGTAAATCTGTCCATGATTACAAGTATGTATTGATACCCTCCACTGGGTGATAAAGGTCCTGTGAAATCAATTTGGAGGTGTGTCCATGGACCTGTTGGTCTGGGTGCATGTGACATTCGCACCTTTACAGATTTTCCCACATTTGCTTTGAGGCATATCAAGCATCTCCTACAGTAATCATCAATGTCTCTCATCATTCTTGGCCACCACCAAGTCTCACTGATTTGAGATTTCATTGCTTTTGCTCCAGCATGTACCTTTCCATGATACAGCTGCATTAGTTCTCTTCTTGTTCCGATAGGCATCACCACTTGTCCTGTTGGAATTCTCCAGATACCTTGATCATCCTCTTTCGCTCCCGCTTTTATCCATTGTTCTTTCTCTTCATCTGTCTCCAGTTGATATGACAGAAGATGGAGCTCAGGATTATCCTTGCTGTTTTCCTTTACCAAGGTAACAGGAGTAAGAGGAAGTAGAGCTGCTTCTCTAGCTACTGCATCCGCTGCCGTGTTTCCTTGACTTTCTTTGGACTTGTCAGATTGATGTGATTTTACTTTGATCACGGCTGCTTCTCGGGGTAAGTAACATGCTGTAATCAAACGACGAATTATGGAAGCATGTTGTATTTCGCTCCCACTGCTAGTGATAAGTCCACGTCTTTTCCACAGAGCCAGGTAGTCATGGACCACGCCAAAAGCATAACGACTATCTGTATAGATGTTGACTCGATCTCCTTCTGATAGTTCAAAGGCTTCTGTAAGTGCTATAAGTTCAGCTACTTGCGCTGAAAATTTCCCAGAAAGGGCTCCTTTCTTTACAACAGTTCCATCTCCTTTCACTACAGCCCATCCAGTATGTCGTTTTCCATCAACATAATAACTGGATCCATCAACCCATAACTCTTTGTCTGGGTTTTCAAGAGGGATTGGATTAACTGGACCAAGACTATCTTCTTCTACTTGTTTTTCACACTCATGTGGTATTCCCTCATGTGGTTCCAGCATCATTGTTGCAGGGTTAAGAGACGTGTCCCTGATGATTTCCACTCTTAAATCCTTGTTCAACAAAGTTGCTTCCCATTTTGCTCTTCTTGCATCAGTTATGGTTTTGATGTTCGTGTTGTTCAACAGTGTCACTATACTGTGTGGAGTGTGCAATATTATAGTTTGTGCTCCTATCAGATTCTCAACAGCATCCACTGCCCATGTGGCACCATCGAGGGCTTGTATACATCGTGGTTGCCCAATCATAGTGACAGGAATCTTTGAGGAAAAGTAACCAACTGGTCTGTATCGATCACCTGGTTTTTGACACAGTACTGCTGAATACGTCTCATCTCCTACCCTGGTCCACAAATGAAAATGCAACCGTCCGTCAGGAAGTCCCAAAGCTGGGGCTGAAGTCAGTTTTTCTTTCATAGAAGTAAACGCTTCCTCAGCTTCCGGTGTCCAGTTTATCTGTTCCACTCCAGGCTTTCCTCCCTTGTACAGGTCGATGAGGGGGCTGGTGATGCTAGCAAAATCAGGTATATACTGACGACAATAGTTGAAAAGTCCCATCACCTTCCGCATTCCTGTAACTGTTAGAGGTTTTGGAAGTTGTCGTAATGCCTCTACACGCTCTGTTGTCATTCTCCTTCCCTCCACAGATATTTCTTGGCCCAAATAGATAACCTTGGATTTGGCCAGCTGTGCTTTGTCGGGGTTAACTTTGAATCCCCCTTTCCTAAGGGCTTGTAGGACAACATTCAGAGCAAATACATGGCTGTTTTCATCTGGGCTTGCAATTAACAAGTCATCAACATATTGGAGGCAAACACTTCCTGATTTCTCAATTTCAGCTTTTTGCTCCGTTAAGAACTGGTCCAAAGCTCTATGAAATACAACAGGAGAAAGATTAAGACCTTGTGGGAGTCTGTTCCAAACATATTGTTTTGCCCCCACTGTAAAGGCTAATTTCTCTTGAGATCTTTTGTCTATAGGTATAGACCAGAAAGCCGACAGTACATCCAGTACCGTAAAAATTTTAGCATTTCCTGGAATATCATTCAGAATGGTGGCAGGATTGGCCACAATAGGATGCGGTTTTGGTGTTACACTGTTAAGTCTTGTGTAATCAATGGTTAATCGCCATGAGTTATCAGATTTCTTGACAGGCCAGACAGGACTATTAGTGGTAGATGAAGTTTGTCTGATGATTCCTTCAGCTTCCAAGTCTGCCACTATCTCCTCCACGGCTCGTCTTGCTTCAGGTCGGATGGGGTATTGTTTATGAGGGGCATGTATCGGTCCCTCAATAACAATGGGATCAATGTTGGCTTTGCCACAATCCAATTTGTGTTTAGCCCAAACATCTGGATATAAACTGCACAGAAGACCCCACACACCGTCTTTTTTCCAGTTTCTGATAATTGGTTTTGCTGTACCAACAGACCTTAGATTACATGTGCGATCTTCGTGTGGTATTATCCCAGCAGTTGTAGCGATTTGACGACTGTCAGTGAATATGATCATGTTCAACAATGGAAGAATGTCCATGCCAATAAGGCTTCCTTGTGAATTCGGCCCAACCCAGAAAGATGTCCATAAGACTTCATCTTCATGTATTTGCAGTGGAACTTGAATACTTTTGCGAAATTTTGTGATACCTCCTCCAACTCCTTCAACTTCCATAGTTTCATCTGTTGTAGGTAGGTTCAGATCTGTTATTGAAATAGCTGCTCCTGTGTCAACCAGGATGTCACATGGGTGGCCCCCTATTAATGCATTGACGAAAAGGCGATTGTCTCTTTTCTTACTAATACAGGGGGCCGCTGATTCCTATTGCGGACGCATAATTCCCTCAATGAGCTGACGGACTTGTGCTTCAGTCCATGTCTTCCCTTGAGGGGTTTCATTATGGTTTTTTGCACTGACCTGTCTAAATGATGGACCTTGACCTTCTGCTCCACCTCCTTTAGCCCAACAATCTATGTTGGAGTGTCCACGCTTTCCACAGTTGCTGCAGAAAATCACCCTATTCTTTGTGTCCTTGTTGTATTGAGCTGTTGCCACTCCTCTTCGATATGGCTTGTTTCCTTCTTCTTTATTTGATCTCATAGCCATCTCTAAGCGGCCAGCCCATTGCATAATTTGGTCAAATGTCTCACCTGGGTTGACTCCAAGTGATAAGGCTTGTTGGTATTTTGCGCTAAGTCCATCCACAAGTGTGTCAGTGAACTGTACATCATCTCTGTCAGGTTGTTTCTTGGCACAGAGAGCCCATCTCTCATAAGCATTCCACTTACGTAGAGCATATTCATCTGGAGATTCATCATCCTTTTGCTTAATCAATGTCACTAATGTGAAAGGAATTTTACCACTGCCCAAGATTTCCTGGATTTCTTTTCGGAACACATCTAATGCTTGCCAAAGACCCAGGGGTCGTCCCTGGCTATCAACCCACAAATCTATCCATTGGGCGGTTGTTATCGAAGCTGGCAAGCGTTCCCATCTGTCTCTTGGGATTTTAGCTTTCACAATGGTGTGTATGTCTCTTAATGACATTTGATGTGCTTCAATCAATGAGTCTAATTCTCGCCAAAACTCTGTGTTTGGATCTTGTCTCTTCAGAGGAGGCAAGGCTGTGAGAATGGCTTGACGTTCTCCTGGTGTGAATGGTCTCTCTTCTGTCATCATTTCAGATCCTTCCCTTTTAATTACAGGTGAAGAAAATTCAGGACCGATCTTGTCAATTGTGATCATGTCGTCATCTCTTGTCTCATCACCCCAGTCAGAATCATAATTCCGAGCTGGTGTACATCGGAGCATGTCTCTGTTTGGCTGAACTGTTTTAGATCTTGTTATTACCGGAGCTGCTTGTGCAGATGCAATATACATTTTGTCAACTGGGCCTCCAGTTGATCTCAAAGCTTGAGGCTGTGTCAGAGGTTTAGATGAATTTGTATATTGTTCAGGCAAAATTGGATAACTTGGGTTGTAAGGAGGAGGCGTTACAGTTGTTGCAGATTTCACTGGTGCTTGTGAATATTTCTTTTCAGCTTCAGTTATTATATTTGTCCAATCTGGATCAAATGAATCGTCATTGGTTGTATTTTCTCCATCTGAACATTTAATAGACATAATTTTGTTCAGTTTGTTATATGCTTCAATTTGAGGCTTCATTGCTTCAACAAGTGGGACTGGGCACCCATTGAAACCGCAACAAATTCCACCTTGTTTCAAAATCCAATGTGCGGCGAGGATTGGAAATACTTTTGACTTGATAGAGTCCTTTTGGGACTCAAGCCAGCTTAACTGTACATCAAGAGATGTGTTAATGTCCAGTCCTTTTTTCAAAAACTTAGCTTGCTTTTTCTGTTTTCTTTCTAAGTACCAAGCAGATATTGTTCTGCTGTTAAATCCACTTTCTGCCATTGAAAATAATTTGTCACTCTGTGTCTGTGTGCTCAAACAGCAGGGCTATTTTTGTGAGTGAGTGTGTGTGGGGAGTGAATTCCAAAGGGAGGGGCTCTCTGCTTCCCTCACTCTGCTTTTTCTCCCTCCACCTGCTCTAATTTCTCAAAGAACAAAGAAGGGGTTGGGGAAACAAAACAAAAAACAACTCTAATAATTTCTGTTTTCCTTTTTTTGTTTGTCTTAACTCAGATCAATTTATATATATATATATATATATGTATTTTAAAGTTGCTCTCAGATCAGTCTTTTCCTCCAAACACTGAACAGCTTTCTTGTCAAAATCAGAATGCATGCAATTTTAGCTTCTATTCCATTGATACCCTTCTTCTAAGGGTTCAATCCTCTGCGTATTTACGTTTTAGGGTTTATTGTATTTTTTTTAATACTGCACTGTACTAACTTCAAGCACAGACCCGCCACTGTAAACCGCTATAAATCACTGCTTGTCAAACTATCCTCGTCTTCTTCTGAAACGATTCTTCGTGTATTGGATATATTTTAGAGATAAATCTGCCCTTTATCGCAGTTTCCCAATATTCCAACCACCTTACAAGCTAATTGCTAAATCGCCTTACAGCTTTTTCCAAAATTTGACTAAGATGGTCTTTTTTCTAAAAAAGATCCACTTTCTAAAGTTTTTTCAAAAATGAAAAAGACTTCCCCAGCATCATTCAATATTCAGAGGTTTACTGACCAGAGCAACTCAAATTAGCCACATCAAATTCTAATTATTATTATTATTATTATTATTTTTTTTTTCTGACACATATATTCATTGGCAAAACAACTGGTACTTTAAATAACACAGTTCTTTTAAGCAGTTTCAGTCAATGTCTAATCATCAGGCAGACTTGGAATTATTTAGAATAGAAAAAGTCTTACCTTGAATGATTGAGACAAATGCCTGAAGATGCAATCCTGTTCTTCGTGACGCCAAATGTAGACTTGGAATTAAAGCCTCTTTTGTTTCCCCGTTATTATTTGATTTACGGGACCGGACACCAGTTATCTTGCCAAGAAAGATTTTATTCTTATATGTCAGGAGAGAAACTTCAAGATGTTGTATTCATGCCAGGTCAATGCGTTTCCGTGTTTCTCTGAGGTAGTACAGTAAGATTGAGTTTTTATACATCACAGAGAGTCTTACAGCTTCCTTGTAAGGTAACAAAACATGTTGCTCTGAGCTTCTTAAAATTAGAACGTATGTCATACGTATACGTTATGTTTAACATGTCACAATTCACTTCCATATTAAGAACTATCCTTGTTGTTTACATCTGTGATACACTCACATCAGCGGAACATGTTACATTGTACACACCCTCTAAGCAAAATATATCTTCTCCCTGTCTGACATATGATCATCCCATGGACCCATGCTATCTATAGCCCCTCATGCATTCAAACTCATGCTTTTGAAACTTCATAAGATAATACAACTGATTATGAATATTAATAAAGAATAATAATACAAATACATAATATTTAATAATGAAATAATATTAAAAGATGAAATTTTGAATCTTCAATTACAATTTAAAATAACTTTTCTATTTGAATATATTTTAAAATGTAATTTATTCCTGTAATGGTAAAAAAAAATTCCAGTGTCATGATCTTTCAGAAAAAAGTTCTAATATGCTGATTTGGTGCTCAAGAAACATTTAAGTCAACAGACTTCACTTGTCAGACTATGTAATATAGGTAGGGGCTAAGCATTGTAGGAGCTTGAGGCCCTTATAAAACTCAATGACTCCCAGATGATCATTTAAAGCTGCAGTCCGTAGCTTTTTTTGTGTTA